TTCTTCGTAAAATAAACTCATGTTGGCAGTAAAAATAACAGTATAATAATTCTTTCTTGGTAAAGAAAACGAACCATGAGTTAACCCATCGCACCCAGATGTAGACTACAAGGCAATGTCAATAAATAAATGTAATATTAATATATTGTACACGTAATACAAATGAATGACAAGTATCATGAGTGTTGAGTTGCGAAACAAATACATCAATGTTAGATAATATCATTCGTGATTGAAAGTTAGTGAGTATTAAACTAAACTATGAACATGGTGGCCCATCGAACCAAGATGTAGACTACAAGGCAATGTAAATAAATAAATAAATAAATAAATAAATAAATAAATAAAAAAATAAATAAGTAAATAAATAAATAAATAAATAAATAAATAAATAAATAAATAAATAAATAAATAAATAAATAAATAAATAAATAAATAAATAAATAAATAAATAAATAAATAAATAAATGTAATAACATTCGTGATGAAAGCTAGTGAGTATTAAACTAAACTATGAACATGGTGACCCATCGCTTAATAAAAATTCCTCAATGTATAAATTAGCTGACAGATCAATATTTGAGTTAATCTCTTTTGCTATAAGATCAATTTTGGAGGTCATGGACGTGTCTAAATTGCCAGACATGGGTCTTCTAAGACAAAGTTCGACGTCTACATTCCATTGCAACTTTAGCATTCCGAATATTCCATTAATCAACTTGAGAGTAGTAGGACAGCGCCACACCTTGGATAGTTTGAATAATTTAGTAACCATTACAAACGTTTTCTGTACAGCTTCTTTGTCTACTTGTTCCGCTGCTTCTTCGAAGTAGGTGTCGATGTTTTCTTTTAAGCGGAAGTATCTATTGGCGGTGAAACAATTTGAGTTTGCAGACGGGGTGGAGCATTCTTCGTCGCAGCCTTCGATGTGTTTTTGTATGACCTTGTTTATCTCAGAATCAATCGCAGTGTAGTATATATGTATCAAAATGTCCTTAACTTTGGGTCTTTCTTGCTCCAATCTATCTGCGTTTGGTTCTGTGTGGAGAAAAAAAATGATGATTTGAAGCAGGCGACGTCATCAAACGTCAAAGATGTTGGTGCACACCACCTCGATAGTTAAATTCGAAATATTTGGACATTCGATCACTCATGTGACTATCTTTAAAACACCATAAGTTTGTGCGGATTTGCCTCAAAAAAATAACAACGTATTGTTGGAATGGTTCCATATCGTCATCAAATCAAAAATTAATGGATTTGCTAGAGCAGGAGTCAGGTACAAACCAACCCGAGTCATATACGTACTAAACCGAGTCATATACGTACTAAACCGAGTCATGCACGAACTAACTCGTTGACGAGTCATATATAGACTAAGACTGTTTTATCTGCAATCGCAGGTGATAGTTGAACCCCGGGAATCGTACACCACAAAACAATACTCCCTCACAGTAGTCTTAAAATCAATTCCTTATCAAATGTAGGAAATCCGCTGTAACAGTGTCATTTCATATCTTACCTGTGCATTTACTGTCACCCTTAGCTTTATACAGTCCACGCTGTACCATTGTTAGCAACATATCCTAAGCACAAATACAAAATACTAGTATATAATTTTGTGTAGTCACATGAACCGATAGTTAAAATATACATATCGTCTTGGTCATAGTATATTGTGACTGATGATAGAGTACAGATCTGACAGATGTATAGCATAGACTTCAAATAACGTAACCCCATTTCGCCAATATTGGTAATGTATTCGCCGAGTACATATACGTGCGTTTATTCACTCCAAACGCTCAATACGAAACAAAAAAACATTGTTTTATTTACAATGCATTTATATGTGAGTAGCATATTTGTGAGCAAAACAAGATGTTGCATAACTAATTAATATATAACACAAATCCGTATATTAATATTATTTTTCACATCATGGTTTCATCGATGTCCCGGTCCCCAATCACTGGTAACATTAATGCAATACATTGATGTATAATTTAATGAACGAAATATACATTTATAGTTTGTGAATAGTTTCTTTTCCTAATCGAATCTTGACAGAATCCCATCCATACAACAAGAATCAGAATTTATTAAGTGTTAATACAAAGTACAAATATTTGTTATATGTAGGCAGAAATTAATGTGACAATGTAATTATTAGTGGACAGTATTAAACATAAGCATTCCTCACCAGTTCCATGAAATCAGGTGTCATGTGGGAGTCTACCATCCATACTGCATACATGCACACTGATAACACCAGTAACCTCGTCATTATACACTATACAGCTTGTACTAAACACGAATGCGAAAACTAACGATGTGTTCCAACAATGTTGTCTTCAGTTGTATAAATAGGTATGTTAATGTAAGTGATGATAAGTGTCAAATTTGTTCCTGTAGTCAGCCAATCACATGCAAATATTAACGACCAGTCGAATAGAATACTCAAATCTGGGGAACTTGCATCAAACTGTGTGAACCTCCCTCTGACGGACATTTGTGGTAATAGGGATAAAACGAGTTACTTTCTCTATCAACGGGACAGGACAAACATACAACCCACACGAATTTGGATATAACGACAGTACAAAGACAACGTAAATTACCCTCCCCTCGTCCACTACCACCACCACAATTTTACACACGCTCCTTTCATTCATGTAAATTGATAACCATAGAGTGTTATAAACCATATGCGTTGAATCTCCATCGAATCATTATTATATCGTGTTTCCCAAATGCATCTAAATTAGCATTAGGAAGTATGAGCATACGGCTGGGCAGTCTAATGGTAATTTAGAGTACCACCGCGCTAAGTGGACAAACTGCATACTAATTGTGTAAATGAATTCCTATGAATCGCACAATCTGTAACACAGGCTTGTACAATATTTAAAGTTGTAAGATGACGACGGACCCACTCCGTGATTTCCGTAATAGGTCATGGCATTTGTCACACTGTTTATTCATGTGTAGAGACAGAGTTCATGGGCCGATTTAGAGGGGGGCCGAGTGGGCCGCGCCCCCTATTTTTAACAACCAACAGGGCTTCGCGCCATCGGCGCTCGCAAACTTGGCCCTACGGCCAACTTATCGGCCCCCCAATTCCAGAATCCTAGATCCGCCCCTAGAGTTACATATCAAACTATTTGCTTCGATGAAAGAACTCATTATGAAGCACACGAAAAAAAAAACGATAAAAAAATTGAAAAGTATACAGCCAGTTCCGGCACATAAGTACAATATGACATCGCTTTACACGCGTCGCCGCTAACGTCTGACACTAGCAATGCAGGTAAAGGCGAGGACCGATGAACATTAGATATCATTTCTTATGTACCATTATAACTTAACAGTAGAAGTCGACGAGATGTGTTTAAGAAGTATAATGAGAGCAAATAATAATATTCCCAACAATACTCGATAATTCTATTTGTTTTGAAACCAGTGTTCAAACATGTAGGCATTTTATTTACTATCGAACATATATTTTTCACGGAGTGTTGTAGATATAAATACATATTTTTACAAACACGGGTTTAATACTAGCAAACTAACTCTCTCAATAAAAGAGGGCTATAGATATATTACATCTATATGTAATATATGAATGCATTTGACTCTAGCGAACAAACTTATTAAATAATAATGTACTGTAGACTATAAATACATATATTTAAATATTTCTCCCAGTGTCGATATTTCATAATAGCAAATGCAATGTCGATGTGGTAAATGGACTATAAAATAATCTTTTAATTTTCAATGTGAAATGTGAATTTGTTGTTATTAGCACAACATTTTTTGACCAAATTCGATTTTATATCTTCATAAATCTACAGTGCATAGCTTATATAACTGATAAAGTTCGGTGTCTCACATTCGATGTACTGACTCAGGGGTACACACGCTTATAGTACCCCTTGCCTACAACGCGCCCCTGGGACCAGTTTTTCTATGTACTATACTACCTAAATTATTGAAACCCAGAAAAAAATACATGCTTTTCAACTTAGGCTTCTGGTTACTTTCATAATAAATCAACCTTATTCGACCGGTTACTGCGCCCTCACCGACTTTACTGGTACATAAACTGTGCCTACCGTATTCCGTACTATTCAGTCGCTTATTTAGTAAATACATGGTTTTATATTGTAATGCCTATAATAATTATGATGCAAAAGTAGTAACTAATTATCATTTTTGATGCCAGGCTGGGAATGGTTGAAATATATATGTACATTTATTAACTATACAGGAGTAGGTCATTCCTCGATAGTATAGTGGTGAGTATCTCCGCCTGTCACGCGGAAGACCGGGGTTCAATTCCCCGTCGGGGAGGCTTAGTTTTAGTTGACACATATATATTTTGTACAACGCGCTTTTTTATTGTATCAATCGTGATTCTTTCCCAGGCTTCTCTCCAATATTGCTTTACTCCGTTAAGATGATCGTTCTACTAGTATTTAGGCGTAGGGACCGTAATATAAAATATATTCGCCCTGATATACTGACAACAGGTGTATACATATGTGTAAAAAAAGTATGTAATATCAGCGCAATCCTCAGTTTGTTCCTAAATGATCTTCCAGATTTACTAGATGAGTTATGCAAACCAGTTAAAATCACTTGGTAGCAGTTGTCCTTGTCTTTGTGTCAGAAACAGAGGAAAGTTTACAGAACCGTTTCAGTGAGTTGGTATTGTACTACTGTACGTGAAACACATCTAAAATAAAAGTTATGATCGTTAATAAAAATGGTAAACTATTAAAGTGCAGTTTTTGTTGCGAAAATGAGTTAGAGTTAGATATAGCTAAAAATTACAAATATAGAATTTTAAACCATGTGGAAAATTTGATTTAGCAAATGAACATTTATATGAGAAAGCGTTAAAAGCTTTTTAATATATTAAACAAACTAATATAAAATCAACAAATATCAACATAGCAACTTTGATCATCATTTTTGACCACGTAATAAGATCAACACTAACTTATGGGTGTGTAATATAGGGTTCAGAAAAATATACAGATAAAACCTACATAGAAAAATTAAATTTTATATTCTTCTACAAATTTACAAGTCAGAAACAAACTTAGCAGTTCGTGAAAAATTTACGAGACATCCAATATCACACTTGGCAGAAAAACAAACAAATAAACAAACAGTCGATTTAAAAATAGAAATATATATTATTTTGCATGTGGGTGTACGGTGTACGGCCCCGCGACTGAGATTGGAAAAATAACTGCATAACTGGTTGAAAATTACAAAGCTGTGTTTTGAACAAAGAATATTTCCTTTTTTTTTCTATTTGAACACAATTTTTAAAAAAAGAGCACATTATGGGGCATTTTTTTCAACTTTTACAAATTCGGCGGAATGACTCCCATTTTTTAAAATGAATGTTATTATATTGTCCGCTTAGCATTTCCAATAAATGGAACGACTTTCTCCTGAGAATTTAAATAGTCGACAGACTT